CCCGCGCCTCCTCCGGCACCGTCCCCCTCGGCCTCGACCTGCGCAATCAGTACCGCTCCGTCAACTCCGTCCCTCCCCCAGGACACGCTTCCACCCCGCGTGCCACATCCGCCCAGTTCGCCACATCAGGCCCCTACACCTCCTCCTTCCCCTCGGCACCCCTTACCGCCCCCGTCGACTTCTCCCTCCCCCGCACACCCGGCCACCGACCCGGCGGTGTCCAGGACTACTCCATGCCTCAGATGTCGGCCCCCATCGCCGCCCCCAACGACTTCTCCCAGGCCTTCCACGCCAGCATGACGACCTCCAACGCGCGCACCCCCATGCGCGACTCCTTCGGCGGCGCCGGCGGCCCCATGCCTCCTCACGCAGGCGAACACCACCAGCAGAGGGAAGAGCACGGCCAGGACTTTGGACTCAAGAGGAAACGCAGCTTCAGCGGTGCCTCTACCGGCCCCGCGCCGCCTCAGGCCTACGGCAGCACGGCCTAAACACGTCGAGGGAGGAGAACGCACAAGGAAAAAAAACTTTTAAAAACACAATTTTGAAAAGACATCATGGTCGGTAAAGATACCCAAAGGAAAGGCAAGGGAGGAAGACACAACAACACTTCATCATCACAACATGGCAGGCATCTATCTGTTTTTGGTTCAAACGGGAGGGGGAAAGGCAAAGGGGGCGGCAAAGGTCGGGAAATCTGCTTTATTAGAAAAGGCGAGCGCGCTGCTCAAACGACACGGAACTCTTTCACTGTTATCTTGCTGCTGCTTTCTTGTCTCCGGGTCACATAACCTGTCGTTTTCTCTGCGGTTTCTTGTTCTTTTTCATGTGCTGACGACAAACATTTTTCCAACCAATTTTTCTGTCTTTTTCTTGTTCAAAGGCTTATCCACAATCCCAAATGCACATACAAACTTTTCTCTCCAAATTTCTTGCTCCCAAACAAACTTGCTTGCTTTCCAACAAACACCGCGTCTTTTCCGCTTGAGCCAAATTCTGGGCGTCTTTCAGGTTTTCTCTACCCTGATTTGGTGGTTGTCTTGTTTGGAAAATACCCCTTCCCGCGCGCCTCTTGACCGTACCTCACTCAGAGTTCTTGTCTGTATCATACGTTTGATTGTATTTACATTGTTACCAAGTTTAGTTTTTGTACATTACTTTGAAATTGAAGCATGACATTGGCTTTCCGAGACCATATGTTCTTCTAGTATATACATATACCATTCCATTCTTACAACGTGCAAATCTCTCTCCTCCTTCTGCAAGCAAAGCGAGTTATACAGTGTATATGTTCTTTACCTCTAATCTGCACTGTTTTTCTACACTTATTCTACGAGGTCGGATGGGGCAGGCGGTAGTCGAATCCCAAGGGCGGGAGAAGAGGCAAAAGAAAGCATCCGAAACGGAAACTCCATGTCGGTTAGGCAGGCACGCACACACGATGCTGTGTAGTTGTTTTTTTGCCCAACATGTTTTGTACGTACGTCAAGTCGCTTATGCACTTCCCGTCAGAGAAGATGCATCGCGAGAGACATTAGCCATCGTCATAACTCGCCTCCGTGGCGAAGCTAGCAAGAACCGATTGCATGTGCAACAAGGAACCTCACTCCGTGGAAAAACTCGTCACCATGTCTCGAATGCCTTGGAACCCCTACCCATGCTCCTCAAGCGCTGTCTGGCTAGGTTTGTGAAGAAAAGACAAGCCGCGGCGACGGCCCATGTTCGTTCGCCTCCTTCTCCGCCCCCGGTCCTTCGATGCCGCGGATTGTGGGGAACCAGCCCGAAATGTCCATCTCCTGCAACGTGGTTGGTCGGTTGAGAAATCCCGTCGGCATCACCTCGCCGGCATCATCTCGGCGGTCCCAGCCGGGAAGGCCCAGACGACGGAGCAAGCGAGGGCTGACTGAAAACCAGGAAAAGAAAGGAGGCATCTTGCCAAGAGCAACTACGTGCTGCCCTTGCTTGGTTGCGATTGGACCCCGATAACGCCCCCGAAGCTGCAGACATGCGTGGCTGCCATGTGGTTGCCATCTAGGCCTGATAGACGCGGGGTCGCTGGGTGCACGCCGTGGGATCAAGGCTGGGTTGCTACGCCATTGTCTGTGTTGGCGCATCTGACTGATTATCCCACGATACTACGGCGCGGGACGGTACCGTGGTTGCGTTGAACAGGCAAAAAACAACGAACAGAGCCAGGAGCCAGCTCCGTCTAAGAGCTAAGCTCTCATTGCAGCGATAATCGTTCGATCTGCTCGTCAATGTGACAAAAGTTGATCCCCTCATCTCATCAGCCGCGGTTCCTTTGCAAGGTAGCATCTGAGGTACCGTTCAGCCGAGGGTTCCGGGGGGCTTCGACCGCGGTCGGTCCCAGCGGAGGGCTTTCACATCCTCCCTCTTTGATCCTGCTGCATTATGCCTGTCGGCTGATAGCGAACAGCTCGTCCTCTGACAAAACCAGACGGCGCGGCAAAAAGCTGTGAGTCTTGAACCAAGGACGGTAAACCACGATGGTACGACAGCAGAGTCAACAACCAAAACACGATGCCAGCGGCCTGTCCTGCTCTCCAAGTCGCATCTACTTGTCGGCCGAAGGCATGCCTGTGAAGAGTTGCAGTAGAAGCACCAAGTGTTCCGCAAGTCCGTCGCTCGACCCATCCGACACCCATGATCCGCTTGGCTATAAGACTGTCTGACACCTGCCGAACAGCATCCGCAGCTGGCCGGTCGACAGGTCGGCCAGCACAGAATCTCTAGTCGGATTGGGCAACCTCGGAGGCTGTGAGCTGTAGAACCGCTTGTCCACGGCTTGTCCACTCCGCACATGCATGCCTTTGAACCGCGTTCTACGAGCCGACATGTCTCCGCCCGTGAATCGTGCACGCCATCGTATTGCCAGACTGTTGACTCGGGTCTCGACCTGGTGATACAAAGACAAAGAGTGCAAGACGAGCCAAGTTTGGCGCGATGCTTCCCATCGCCAAAGCCGTCATCTTGTCACCGCGACCAAGATCGTCATTACCGCCACAGCAGTCAGACAGAGACATTCTGTGGCAGCCACAGTTGGTTTCGAGGAAGGCAATGGTAGCACCTTGTGTGAGGGAACGGAAAGACGTCGTAGAGGCATATACGAAATTCTCTGGTGCCCGCTGTCTCATGGCGGGTAGCCGAGTAATCGCTCCCGATCCGTCCGTGTACAACCAGGAGACCTAAGCTTACACTCTGCATGGTAAGGGTGTCCGGACAGCGTGCAACATCCACCCTTGGCCGGTTGAAAACCGCCCGACGTTTGTGCGCCTGCCCGAGAAATGGTCAGAGTTCGGGAATATGGTGTCAAGTGTAAGCGCGCCCGGCATCGACAAGACGTCTAAACCTTAGCCTCGTCCTACCCACCACAACGAGCCTGGACAAATGGTCATGTGCGTTACAACCCCCGGATTTTCTTTTTGAAAGGGGGGCCTACCGGACGACTGTCATGTATGCAGGTTGGCTGGATCAGCAAGCTAACGCGAGGCACTTCTGAAAATATGGTTATTCTCAGCGGCGATGGAGTGGTGTGACTGCCGTCGATCAAGGTTCGCGGAGAGGACAACGTTACCGACGTGCCACAGAAGAGGTGGTGGGAGAGATGTGCTCCAGGCACGGCGTATTGCGTTGAGACCACCATTGTCAAGGCAGAGGAACGGCTCGTATGCTTGTTGAGCTAAGGCAGTTAGTTCCCGAAGCGTCAGATCGGGGGAGGATTGTCGAGGGTTACGCTTGGCTCGATGTGTAGTCGGAAGGAGACGGCCGACGGCAGAGATCGCCAGTGTGATAGGTGGAGTCGGGACTTGGATGCCAACCGTGTTGTTCCTCCTTGTCATGGGCTAGGAATGCCATCTGCACCATGCGGGGTATGCTTCAACAACCGTGAGCGAATGTGCAGTTGCCCATGTGCAATCCGATTCGCGCATTGTTGTCAGCTAACAGGACGGTTCTTTGAAAACTCCTGGCTGAAGAAATAGGGTCGTAGTCAACCGGTCTAGAGGGGTGGTTTCTAGCGGAGATGTTGCCGACGAGCCTGACGAGAGCATCGGCGGCCCCTCAACCCTAGTCCACCGGCAGAGCCAAGGTGAAGCCCGACCAATCGCGGTACGCATTCGAAATTGCGAGTTGCCGTCGGCGAGGGGTGCCGTCTGTGATTGTCCAGGGGTGTACCGGTCGACAATCAAAGTTGGCTCTTCTGTGCCGTGGAAAAAGGCCGGCTGTTAGTGATTCTCTCCGAGACGTGATGCTTGTTTTGCTCCGAATGTGACATGACGCCGGACCGTTGACGCTCAATTGAGGGGCAATGCGTAGAGCTTTCCTAGAGACAGATCTTGAGGCGTCAAACCAATTTACGGCTTGTGTCTTTCGATATGAATTTGTGGAGTGCATGCTCATTGCATAAATCCCGAGGATGAGGTCTAGGTTGATGAATGAAGTTGAGGAGGTTGGGAGGAAAATCCGGGGAGAGATGAAGTTGCCGTGAGGTGGGGGAGGGGAAGGAGGGATTGTTGGGTGCCTCTGTCGTGCACTGACCTCCGCCGCGATTTATCGGGGGTGTCTAATTTCAACGTCCTGCTTGCAACTTCTTCATTACAACTCTTTCCACTCATATCAGTAAGCATGGCAGGTAAGACCAGAGCGGGAAACCGACTTTTCAAAGATTCCCGGATACAAGATCGAGAGAACATGAAAGCCCTTTCCTCCATGCTCATGGTCAATTTGGATCAAGCTAAGACTTGCCAGAACTGACGATTCCATGTTCAAAACCTACGTACCATGACCGTCCAAGTCCAATGTTACACTTGGGGTTTTGGCATTGCATCACTGCCAGCTTGAATCTGATCAAAAAAAGCACGTTATTCACTCCTTCATTTCCTCGGGCATGTCGTCCGAATATCATGTGTGTTTTACTTGTGTATCCCCTTCTCCATAGAGTCGTTTTCGCTACGCCGGGCACAACAGCCTGCTTCAATAGTTCACCCAGACACCTCATTTCTGCTATTCGAATCGTTCCTCTCAGACGTCCCATGATCTCCTGGCAACTCAAACGCAGTAAGATCTCCAGACATCTCGTGGACATCTGGAATCGCAGAGCCCCGCAGAGCTGTATACTCTGAGCCAGGTGCCTGTTGAATCTCCGAACCACGCTTCTCGTACGCTGGCGGATTTACGGCCACGTCGTTGGAGACATGGTCAGCTTTTCGCTTCTTACGCTTCAAGAAGAACAGTACGATGCCCATTATCAGAATCAACCCAACGACACCACCGACTACTGCACCTACGATCGCGCCTATACTCGGTTTGGAGTCTTCATTGGGACTTGTGTTGCTGGTTGGCTCAGACGTAGGTTCTGTTGAACACTCCAGTCAGTTATCTATACATGGCCGTGTTTGTGTTCACTTACTTAGAGCAAATAAAGACTTCAGCTCGTCATCCGCCCAGTTGACTTTATCCATGCCACCTCCTTCATACCACTGCCGGATCTCCTCTGGGCCAGTATACTTAGCTGCGGTGGCGTAATACTGATCCCTCCAGGTCCATTGCATCATGTCGAAAATGCCAAGCCCACGCGTCCAAGGGTCACGATTAGCCCAAACTTTGAATGAGTGCTCGTGGTTGCTTCCCCCGATAGAGAGCATTTGACGCCTACCAACAAGAACGCAGGCATGATTCATGCGAGGAGTCAGTTCTATAGTCGAACTGGGGTTGGCTTTGAAGAAGTGGAACCCAGGCAAAGTCAGGACGTAGACCTCATTGGATATGCCATCGTTTCCCATACCGCCATACATGAAGCTAATCATGTGCACATATATCAGCTTGAAGGTCACATTTCCAACTTTACAACTTACATGTCGAATGTGTTGTTCGGTCCATCGACACCCACCGTACAGAAGTTTTCTCTTGCTGTCGGCCAATCTCCAGTCGTTTGTTGCTGATACCACCTCCCAGCTAATCGCATGTCAACGCGTCATGCCGAGCGATGGTTGCCGAGTCCTTACCTTTGATGTCGTACAAGTGCACTTGTTTAAAATCCATCAAAACCCAATCCTCATCGGAGCTTGCCGATGGAGGAGCTTGTGACCCGCCGAGCACGAGGAGCAGTCCCTGAGAGCCAAAAGGTATGGCCTCCATAGACCCATAACGGAAAGTGCGATGTTCTCCAAAACCGGCTGGCGATGTTTTTGTAACCCTCTTGCTGGTCATGTTGAACGTCACAAGATCTGTCAGTGCGACAAATTTCCCCTCTGGGATCGAACTGTCGGTTCTTGGCGTGGCCAGCCCACCGAAATAGTATGCCATGTCCTTACTCTGAGCGAAAGCACCCCCCTTTGGTTGCTTGAATTTATTGAAATCATCAACGTTGTCAGCAACGACATCTTTCCAAGACCCTTTGCCAGATTCATTGGCGTCAAAGTGAAAGATGTTTGATGGCTTCACAGTATCGTTATACGGCGTTTCGCCGCCCCAGATGTAGAAACCTTTCGAATCGGGGTCCCGCCATATGGCTTGGAAGTTCAACTTTGGTATAACATTGTCCTTGTCCGAGACTTTGATGCGAACGTCTGAGGTGGACCATGACGATTGGAGGTCGATCGAGAGCGTCAAGTTGACTAGTCAAGAGATTGCTTTGCGTGAGCTCACTTCTTCCACTTTGGAATTTCTGAGCATCCTCACCGGATCTTGATGGACGATCGTCCGTTAAGGCATTTGTCCCATTAATCATCCATGAGATCTCACCACCGTCGATGTAGACGTAGTTTCCGTTAACAGTAGCTTCAAGGTGTTAGTGGGAGGCTGTCGGATCGGAAACTGAGCATCTGACCTGAACAAAGCGATCTCCGCAAGAAATCCTCATTCTTAGGATTGCTTGTTGGCCATTTTCCTTGTCCGAGCGTGAGCCAGTACTGCGTTGAAACTGCCAGTAGAGACAGCCAGTAGAACGCTGAGTAGCGCATTGTTTTCTATATCCGCGCTATGATATCGCGAGTCGTTCAGAAGATCAAAAATATCGAATGATAGGCAGGGTAAAGAAGTGATGGGTGCGATGTCAGGGAACCTTGGACAACGCAGTCAGTGGCAGGTCTATGAGGAAACCGATATTTGATCCGGTCGACGCCCCGCTCTCGCTCCAAGGTCGTGCAGAATACGCCTATACGCCACATGTGCTACAAAACAATACAGTACTGCTTACTTCCTAATCCATGCGAACTGAGGTATTCAACGGGATTTGAACACCCGCCATGTCCGCGTCCTGTGCAGCGTGTCTTGGTTCAGACACCCCCCATTGTGGAAATTACGAATGAATGATATCAAATCAACTCTGCGGGTATCTTCCCCGTTTCGAGACGACCATTGCGAGAAGCCTCTTATCTGTTTGCGTCAGCATCAACTAGCCTTTTTTGAGTGTTTCCGAGTAACTGTTAGAAATCCCAAAACCATGAAATGGAAGCTCTATTGCACGCATACGTTGGGTGTGCGGCTCTCATCGAGTTAGAAGCCTTTGATGTCCTACTTCCCGCAGCCGCATTACCGTGCATGATTCCAGTCACTAAAAATCAAGGGCTGGGCTGCAGCAGTTCTTACATGCGTGCCCTGTATTATTCCAAGCTATGTTCTGCAGAGAGACCTTGGCTAATTTTGAGCTGAACACTCGTGTCATAGCCGGATTCGGTACGTCAGACGCCAAGTAAAATCATTCCCATGTGGCGCTGGTGAACTGCAGGTGTCTTGTAAGTGGCTTGCGATGATCTGCCATATCAGCCTAAGGACAACTTTTGCCCTCGATCTCTGTGACAAGATTCTCAGCGAATCTTTACTTCGAGAATTCTCAATATGGTATTAGTGAGCATCTAGTTGAGGGGAATGGGCTCTGGTTGGCTAGAGGCACCCTTGGGCCAGTCTTCCTCGTCGAGCAAATGTCATTTTAGACATTAGTTTGCAATGTCAGACAAGGCTGTCTTGCCTCAGCAGGTGCCCGCGACTTGTGGTTACACTGTGAATTTGGCTCTAGAGAGTTTCTATCTTGTGCCCGTTCCTTGAAACACATACGAATTGGCTGCTGTTTATTCATCAAAACACTCACTTTGGCATTGGATGTTGACTATACTCTCTTGTCAAAGAAGTCCAAATCACAAAGATAGGGGATGTCATGTTTCTTATCTCCTCAAATTCAACATTCCTTTCATCCTAAAGACTTCCAATACTGTGCAAGCTTCTGGCATATGCTGGGTCTCACCTTCGAGTCTTTGCCTCGCGAGGCTCACTCTCTGCTGGTAACTCGACTGGACCCGAGCAACCATGGACCTCAGCTGGAGCAGAAGAGCCATCCATTTCCAAATGACTGGACTCGCCATGAAGCTGGTGAGGCTCATGTGTGTTCTGGCCTCCATACGCCGTGGACTGTGAACCATACTTTTGGTAGACTGAATCCTCATTTGGCGGATCGTGTGGGGGCTGTTGTGGCGTTGCTGCGTACTTCTTCTTACGTTTGATCAGGAAAAAAGCGAGACCAGTTAGGAGAGCCATGCCGAAAACTCCACCAACAACGCCGCCTGCTATGGCGCCAGCAGAGGGTGAAGACGAGTGTTTTTCCTCGCCATCGCTAGCTGTGTCGTTTCCTCCGGGCGTTGAAGTCGGTCCAGGAGATGTTGAAATGTTTTGGAGAGCTGTTTCTTGGTTAGTTGTGTTTCGACTCCACACCCAGAGTCACTCACACTTCGAGAATAGAACCTCCAGGAAACATTATCCCGGCCTCCCTCATTGTACCATTGCTTCACTATCTTTGAGGGCTCGTACGCTGCGTCATCAGCTTCGTACCCATCCTTCCAACGCATCTCTGTCATGTCGAACACGCCTAGTCCATTAGGCCAAGGATCCGGGTCGGTCCATCCTTCGCGGGGGACTATTTTCGCAAGCCCGCCAATCGATAGCACCTGGCCTCGTCCAGCGGCAACACAGGCTTGGTCGAATCGTGGTGTTGAATAGCCGCTCGCTTTGAAAAAGTTGAAACCAGGGACGGTGAGCACATAGACGTCGCTCAAGACGCCCTGTGAACCAAAACCGCCATACATGAAGCTTGCACGCGGGTCAGTTTTGGATCTGGCGACTGAAGACGGTGTGAGTTGAAGCAATAGGCTGCTTACATTTCGAAGGTGTTGTTTGGCCCCGAAATGCCAGTCGTGCAGAAGCGCCTCCTAGTTGCCGGTATAGATCCAGTAGTGCCCTGTGTATACCACCTTTGCCCTATGGTAGTTTCAGTCCAAATGCTCTCATCAAGAAGTCATATGCTCACCTTCGATATCAAACAGCGTCACCCGGGTGAAGTCCACCTCCTTCCAGTCGCCGCCTCTCGACGTCCTAGGCGCCTCTAGGCCGCCAAGGAAGAGAAGGATGCCAGCGTCTCCGAAGGGTAAGAATTGCGAAGACCCTTCCTTGAAAGTCCCGTATTGGCCGAACTCGCTTGTCGTATTCTTGATCTCTCCAGATGTCATGTTGTACGACACGAGTCCTGGGGTGGGAATGGACACGTTCCAGTCTGAGATGGAGTAGTCGCTCCGCCTCCTCACGATGCCCCCGAAGTAATACCCGGTATCTTTGCTCTGCGTGTAAGTTCCATCGGTCGGTCGCAACAGATTTTGGAACGTGATGGGGTTCGAAGGCGTCACCCTTTCCCACTTGCCGCCACCGCTACCGTCGGCTGTGAAGCGCCAAACATCTTTATCTGGCAGTTTGCGGTTGTATATCTTTTCACCAGCCCACGTATAGAATTCCTTTCCGGAGGGTCCCAGCCAGATTGACTGGCTATCTAGCTTTTGAGAGTTCTTGGTGATTGATCTCATGTCGATCTTTGAGGTGCTCCAGGATTCCTTTAGACTGATGGAGATCGTCGAGTTCACTGAGGGTCAGTTTCCGCTGCGTTAGCACATGTTTCTTAACCTTTTCTACGGAACCTTCTGTATTTACCTTCACGAAATATGTCGCCCAAGTCGTCACTACTGGCATTTGTGAAGGGGATTTGCGAAATTCGGCCTCCGTCAATGTACACATAGTCGCCCAAGACGGCAGCTTGAGCAGGTCAGCGGTCTCAAAAAATACATGCTGTCATCTTGGAAGAAATCTAACCTGAAGAAAAGGACCTCCGCAAGAAATTGGACGCTGACGGTGTATCTTGACGCGCGATGAGGCCTGGTCCCCTGAATAGGCTCAGACAATGCGCTTCAGCCGCCAGCCATGGCCCGAGGCATGTCGCGAGTCGCATCTTGGAAGTTTTTAGAGAAGAAGATAGGTATAGAGAGCCTGTGAGGTGTCAAAGATCATGTCGAGAGAAGGGAATCCAGTGAATATGAGAGAGCACAATGTGTCAGCATGAGAGCATGATCTCAGCAGGCTCGCAGCGCATCTAAGTCACGGCTGTTTCAGGCAACCGAGACACATCGACACTGGAGTACCACCCTTGATTAAATGCTCATTTAAAGAGAGCGATGGGCTTGCCACAAATGCTGTTGAAAGCCGTCGACGCTGCTTACGGTTGGGTCATGGTGGTGTTCTAGTCAAATAATTCTAGATGACCTACTCGATAAATTGGCAGACCACTGCGATACTTGAACCTTTACCAGTTGTTGTCAGCCTTACGAAAGGCTAGTCTTGAAGCATCATGGATATTGATTTTTCGACGTTGTATGATCTGCCTCGAAGCCTGTGGCGAGGGCTGAATGACGATTGTCCTTGCTGGAATAGATGCCAAGAAAGGGGGATTCCCATGGGCATGGACTGATCGACGGCACAGTTTGCAGTGATCATTGTCAGCCCTGCGGCCATTGAAGGTTGCAGCAACAATCTAGAGATTGCCAAATAAGTTTACCCCGAAAGAAATATCAAGAAATTCCCCTGAACCTGCCACAGATTGAGGTCGTGCATCGCGTGCCGGGAAACACGACCAGGGAGAAACAGCGTGCGTCAGCGAGGCTTTCTTCTGAGTGCCTAGTTCAAACATGTCATTATATCTGTCGCTCCAAATGCTAATAGCCCCACACTGGTGAAGATCTATGTACCTCATGCCAAATATGTCCCGTCGTCTCGGCCTCTTTCTAGGATTTGGCACCCTCCACTCCTCTATCTTGACCATCCACAGCAGCGCCAAAGACATCTATTACAACATCCAATCCTCTTCCAAACCATGACAGTAAATACTCTTCCCTCACCCTCTCCTCCTCATGCCCTCCGACCCGGCACTCCCCGCCCTCCCCAGCTCAGCCCCATCCTCCGCCCCCCTCCCCGGAGCCAACACCCCCTCACTCCCACTCCCCCGCCTCCTCGGCTCCTCGAACCTCGTCTCGTCCGAGTCGTCCGCGTCCGCCCCATGAATGCCGCCGCAGCTCTCCATCGTAAACGGACTCGCCGTCGGCCCATCCAAAACCCCCAGCTCCTGCCCCGAAAAGCGCCGCGGCAGAAGCCACGCGCGGATCGGGATCAGCAGCATGATGAACACAGGGAACCCCACCGCGGCCACGGTCTGCGTGATGGCAAACGTGGCCCCGAAGCCCACCAGCTCGATCGCGACAAACTCCCACACCGCCCGCCGCCGGATCTGGTTCAGCGGGTGGTTCGGCGGCGTCAGATTCTTGTCCTTGAGCAGGAACAGGATCTTGAGCGTGATACCGTTGCCCTCGAGCGCCTGCACGCCCATCACGAAGAACAGCCCCGCCAGCACGCCGTGCGGGATGAGGTGCAGCACGACCAGCAGCGGGCCCGTCATCGTACCGAGCGTCAGCAGGCCCTGCGCCAGGTTGGACACGCGCTGCTCCACCACGTGCGAGGCCTTTGTGATGTGCTTCCCGGTGAGCTCGCCCTTCTCGTCGACATCCGCTTCGGACTTGCGCACGGTGAGGGACTCGGTGTGGAAGGGCGCCTGTGGGATGAGGCCGTTGGGAAAGGGCAAACCCAAGATGCCCGCGACGCCGGTTGTCAGGCCCAAGAGGAAGAGGTCCCAGTGGAAACCTGCTGGCTTCCGGAGGGGGAATTCGGTGCCTTGGGCGATGAGTGACGAGACTATTGGGCCAGGTCAGTTGCGGTCTTATTTGATATAGGTGGACAGGGGGCTGTTACCGTTGTGGTCAAACCAGAACAAGATGGTGAGTAATATCGCAAACGGAAGTGCGAGGAATACATCGCCGACGGGGATGTCCCAAAAGTGAACGAGCCAGCCCCGGTCCGCGGTCGGCATGAAGGCGATGCCCGTCGGCAGGACCTCCAAGTCGATCGGCTTCATCCGGCCAATGTGCACAAACCCCGTGAAGAAGATGAGGGTGAGCGGGGTGCCGTAGTCCTTGAGGAAGATGCGCACGTGGTGGTGGAAGAGGCTGCTGCCACCGAGACCGGCGCAGATGTACGCGACCATGAAGACGAGCAGCGAGGCGACGATCGACAGGTAGAATGGCTCGGCATCACCCAGACGCTCGAGGACCTGGATGCCTTTCTGGAGGTAGATGAAGGCGACGTAGAAACCGAAGATGTCGCAGGGGAAGCGGGTCACGTAGCGCAGCCAGTTGCAGGAGTTTGTTATCGCGAGGATCCAGTGGAGGATGAGGGACCATCTGTTGTTTGGTGTCAGTTGGCATCACGGCGAGGGTTCGTACATGGATTACGTACATTCCAATCCAGCACATGAAGGCCAGGTAGTTTACACCCGTGGGCTTCATGATGTCGTACACGGTATAGTTGAAAACGGTGATTGGGCCCGTGACGCCGACGATGACCAGAGGTTGGCAGGCAAACACGGCAAAGACAACGGATCCGAGCACCGAAGCTAGTAAGACCTCATTGACACCGTATGTCGAGCCGGTGCTGGTGAACATGTCGAGGGAGAAGGCCAGGGCTGGGAGGATACTGCGCTCACGTTAGTCTCCATCGCCCTTGAATCCATCTTATAGCAACACAACCACAACGGCTATATCGCGCGTGTTGTTGTGACAAGTAAAAGGCAATCGCTACGAAACTCAGGGGTTTCGCAACAGACAAAAACACGACCTAGCTGGAATACGTACTTTGCAAAATACATGTACACGGTCGCCGGCACGACACGATAATCCCACGCATCGAGCCAGTCGCTGACGTAAAAGGGCGCCCGGCGCCGCAGGTCGTTGACCATGCCGCGAAAGAGCTGGACCTTCCACCATCCAGAGGAACGCCTGCGGCGGTTACTGCTGCCATGCTGGCTTGTGGTTGTCGTCGGCCCGGGGAGTGGCTCGACTGTCTTTTCGTCCGTATTGGGCGCCATTGTAGACTGCCCCAGGCGAGCTTCGCCTTTCCTTCGCCGTCTACGGCTGTGTGTAGATGCGTAAACACCAAATGGAAAATATAAAGAGCAAAAAGGATCAAGAACGATTAACGATGCGCAAGTCGTACCCAACGGGTAATCATGTCGAAAAAGGCACAAATCCCGCCTATGTAGAAAAGTATGTGACGACGTTCGAAGTGTAGAAGTAAACCTGGGCTTGGCTAAGGCCGGCCAGGTGTGGGTGGGTGGTTGTTGTATTTAAGAATTGGTATGGACTGATGGATCTGCCTAGGACAAGGTAGGCCGAGACAAGCACTTCTGAAGCGCACTTGCGTCCGGGGGAGATTTGATGAAGAGGTATCCGTATTTGATCTCAGGGTGGATGCGACTGCGACCTGCCGACATGCAAAGGACCATAAGAAGCACAACAGAACGAGGGCCAAAGGGGGAAAATCCAGTTGCAAGGGCAAAATCGTTGAGAACCTCGCAGGGAAATGATGTGAGCGGGAATACAGGTTCCAGACTTGAGAGTTCAGAAGAGGCAATAGACCAGGCACCCCCAAATGGAGAAAAGAGTCGGCCCCGCCCGATTGGAACTCTGGCAAGGTATGTTTGTTTTTCCCGTCAAAATTGACTCGTCTGGCCCAGCACTGCGGCGGCGGCCTCGCTGTATCTTCTCGTCGAATCAGTGTCGCGATGAGAGCTTCGAAGCCAAACCACCACGGATGCTGTAGAACGAAGGTGAAGAAATGATGACGGCGTCGCAAACCCCAGCGGCCGTCGCCGTCACCGCTTCCCACCACCCCAGAAACACCGAGTCAAGAACCGTCTTAACAAGTTCGCCACGTGCATATGCCGCTGCAGTAATCGTAGATTCCGCACCGCAACCCTCCTCGGAAATGCGACGGCCACAGGTATCTCATTGGCCAATACACAACATCCCCCGCAGGATTCTGCTTGGGCAGAACGTATGTTGACATCCTGACCCCATTTCACCCAATCACCTCTCTTGAATGGTAAGGTGGAGCTCCACTCGGGGCCAAAATGTCTGAGCCGGAGAGAAAGCGAAAGAGAGACTCTTGATAATGAGAACTGCTCACGTCGCAAAGAATCACTCGACATCTCTGTCATTGTTCGTTTGTCAAGAAGCTGGGATTAGACTGGCGCCAGAACAAGATTCGGTCTACGGCCGCAGCAGAATGGCGCCGGCATCCCACGCGATCGGCAAGATCTCAATCTCTGAGAGGAATTTAATAGCCGTCCTTTGCCATCTCTGAAAAAACTCTGAACCGTGCCCTTCCTTAACCCCGAATGACACCACTCAACGCAACACTAATGCGGTCAGTCACACGGCCCCAGACCCTACCATTGACCATTAGATCGATGGTAGAGTTTCCAATGTCGTCTGGTCTCTATCATCATATGAGTTGGTGTCTTGTGGGAGGAACTGGCTCGAGAAGACGTCATTCTTCACGCAAAGGAGTGTACTCGTGGCATAACATGAGGCTTTCAATGTTAAACTTACTTATGCTCTTTGCACCCTTTGACAAACACGTCGATAAAGGTTTATAGCTCGTCCAGTAAGAGGCACTGACCAAATGCTCTTGCTGCGGCTTTTTCCACTGTATACCCTCTCGTTAAATTAGATATGCAACTCCGTGAACATGTCAGCCTGCCTAGAAAGCTGAACAACTGCCCGTACCGTCTTCGACCCCATCCTCTGTGCTAAGGTGAGGTTCGTGCTTGCGCGTCGAAACCACACATTACTGCAAACGTATGCGCCTTGCACTCGAGACTATCATCGACCTTCATCATACCCCTCTGCAGGGGACTTGGTATTTTTGAGAGTCAAGCTGGATGTATCTACATTTCCTACTACAAGTACAAGTGTGAAGTGTTCCCCCGCCTCCCCAATCTACTCCAGCCCGCAATGGTGATGCCTCTACTAGTAACACAGCCGCCGCGAAGGCAGAGTTGAGAGCCCTTTTGTTGTATTCCCCTAGACTAAAGAAAATTGAAAACCACGTCTCGAGTGCCATCCCCTCGTGCTCTCATCATCTCCTCGACCTGTCCTGGCTGTCCTCCAAGCTCTTGAAGGTGGGCGTGGGGCCGACGGGCGGGTTCTCGGGCGGAGAGTCCGTGTTCTCCGTCTCCTGAGGGGGCGGCGGCGGCGCGCTCTTCTGGCCCTGGCCGCCAAAGTACTTCTCAAACTCCTGGTGGTCGCCGAACGGTCTCGGTCCGAGGATGCGGACGAGATCGTCACGGGTGAGCATCTCCTTCTTCAGGAGCTCCTCCGCGACGAGACCGACCTCGTGCTTCTTCTCCGTCAGCAGCTCGCGGCACTGCTTGTACGCCTCCTCCACGATGCGGTGTACCTCGGCGTCGATGGCCTGCGCCGTCGCCTCGGCGAAGGGCTTCTGGAGAGTGTTTGGGTCGTCATCAAAGTGCAGCGGGCCGACCTTCTCCGACATGCCCCACTGGGTGACCATCTTGCGAGCCATCTGGGTGACCTTGCGGAAGTCGTCGCTGGCACCGGTCGTGACGGTTGGGAAGTGCAGCTCCTCAGAGATGCGGCCGCCCAGGGTCATGGCCATACGGTCCATCAGCTGTTGCACTGTCATCAGGTAGGCATCGCCTGAGGGCAGGTACTGGGCGTAACCCAGAGCGCCCTGTCCACGAGGGATGATGGAGACCTTGAGAAGGGGATCGGCGAACTCAAAGTACCAGCCGCAGATGGCGTGGCCGGCCTCGTGGTAGGCGACCGTTCTCTTCTCCTTGGGGTTGAGGACAAGGGACTTGCGCTCGAGACCTCCGATAACACGCTCAATGGCTTGCTCAAAGTGGATCATCTCAACAGACTCGGCATTGGCACGGGCAGCTGTGGCATGTCAGTGAACTGTGAAAACTAACACGGGACTCAGAGAAACATACCAACAAGAGCGGCTTCGTTGACGGCGTTGGCAATGTCAGCGCCAGAGAAGCCGGGGGTGAGAGTCGCCAGACGACCGGTCAAGTGCTCCATCTCCTCCTTGGTAACGATCTTTGCAAGATGCACCTTGAAGATTTCTTGGCGGCCCTTCATTGTCGGGCGGTCAATGTAGATGTGTCTGTCGAAACGGCCAGGACGCATCAGAGCCTTGTCAAGGATATCGGCTCTGTTGGTACCGGCGAGAACGACGACCTGCTCCTGAGTGTTGAAACCGTCCATCTCGGTGAGGATCTGGTTGAGGGTAGCCTCGCGCTCGTCGTTACTGCCGCCCGGGCGGTTGCCGTCCTGTCTCGCGCGACCAATGGCATCGATTTCGTCAATGAAGATGATGCAGGGCGCGTTCTTACGAGCCGTGGCGAAGAGGTCGCGCACTCTGGAAGGACCGACACCGACGAACATCTCGACAAACTCAGAGCCGGAAACGCTGAAGAAGGGAACACCAGACTCGCCTGCCGTGGCCTTGGCAAGAAGCGTCTTACCAGTTCCAGGGGGTCCAGAAAGAATGGCACCACGCGGAATCTTGGCGCCTAACCTCTCGAAGCGCTCTGGGGTCTTCAAGAAGCTGACAAACTCCATAATCTCCGTCTTGGCCTCGTCCATGCCGGCAACATCGTTGAACTTGACCTTGATTGCTGTCTCGTGGTTGAAACGCTTAGCCTTGCTCTTACCGAATCCAAACATCTGGTTGCCTCCACGTCCACCCATTTGCTTCGTGGTGTAGTACAGGAGACCAACCAAGAGGAGGGTCGGACCAAAAGCGTAGACCAAGGGCATGATGCCACCCTCGGTGGCATAGCTCACCGGGATGCGCTCTGCAGGCGGGATACCCAGCTCCCGCTGGGCGTCCTCCAGCTGCTTCTCAAACATTTCGACGGAGCCGATGGAGAAGTAGTACTGCATGTTGGGGTTGACGCCCTCGTTGCCGCCGTACACAGACTGGACACCCTCGCGATTCAGCTCGACACGAACACGGCCAGACGTCTTGATGACCACGAGCTTGTTGACGAGTCCCTTGTCCAGGAAGTTCCTGCGCAACTCCTGCCAAGTGATCTCCTTCTCGGAACCCCACAGCAGAGACTCGAAGAACGGCAGAATCACCGCCCAGACGATGGCAGCGACGACGAGATCGCCAGTGCTGAACATGCCGAAAAGCCACTTATTTTTGCCCGATCCTTCGTTACCGCCCTCGCCCGACTCAGACTTTCGGCCCCGCTCCTCCTTCTGCTTGCTTTCCCAGTGATCCTTCTTCGCCTGATCTATCTCCTTCATTGCTGCCTTCTCCTCCTCACTCATCTTGGTCATCGCTTCGTATTGGGCGCATCTGCTCGTAATCTGTGCTGAGACGCGGATGAGCTTGGCCATTTCGCGAAAGCTTATGTCCTTTTTGCCGTCCTGTAGCGAGTGCAGAATCTCCTTCAATTCCTCGGGGACTCCCAGTAGCCTTATCTCCTCGACGCTCTTCAGGAGGAAGTCCTTCTGGAACCCAGGTAGAGCTGGGTTATAGGCCATAGTCTTCAGCATGACAAGCTCCTCCTCCGTCAGGTACACCCAGTTCTTGGGAAGCGGCCATTCTTTCCGTATAAGCTCCTCCTTGGCCAAGCGAAGCTTTTCGGGGTCGGTCTCCTCTTCTGGCTTCTTTCCTTCCTCGTTCTCCTGCTTAAATTTGTCTGCCTCCTTGTCCAGCTTCTTGTGTTGGTCTGCCTCTGCGTCCTCTTTCTTAGTTTTCTTTTCGTTTTTCTTCTTGGGAGATTCTGGCTTGTTATTTGTTGAATAGAACTGCGATCGGTATGCGGCGAGGGGTGCCTGCGGGGCAAGTCGTGCTATTCTCGACGGCTGGAAACGCATCCGTGTGATCGGGTGCTGCGCAATCCTGACAGCTTGCGCAAGCTGCGCCGACTGGCGCAGGAACCTCGCCATGATTGTGTATGCCTGTAGAGACGAGGCGGAACGACCGGGGCCGAGCTGGATATGTATTTCACCGCGTGCAGCGATGTGCTACCTCATTGAGGCAACTTGGTGGGTGCTGGGTGGTTGTCGGGTTGAGGATGATATCCGGAAGACTTCAAGATGGAAATAATGACACCCGCCGCAGCGTTTTCGGCGATGGTCGAAGAATTCGAGGTGGTGGTGTTGGCGGTTGGCCCAGGGTTTCCGGGATGACTGCGCGATGGCGAAAAGCTACCACCACCATTAGTGATGAGTTCATCTCGCTGCGGGTCCCATCGCCAGTTTTAGCGGCACGTGACTCAAACTCCGTCCCGCCGCCAATTCTGTCGGTTGAGACGGGCTGCTTCCGCCGCAAACTCCGACCCGGACAATGACACTTGCATTCCACCTGGCGTTTTTGGACCGCAGGCATCAGTTGACGTAGTCTAGAGTGTGGAGTGTAGTCTAGAAAGGAAGAATGGACGTCCTGCGCAGGGCTTACACGCAGGCGTCCGTTTGCTGTCAATTGAAACACAATGCACGAATAAGTCGACGAGTAGTTCTGGAAATGAAGGAATTGAGTCTGCTATTGATCTTTCTTGTCAATACTAGACGTATGTCCGCCACTCTATGGCAATATACACGCCGCACAATGGCCGCTGTCCACGGAGGGACCCCACATACAACATATTTTCCGCCTCAGCAGGGCTGATTACTAGTACATACGTTCAAAGTGTCGTTATTTCGTCTCACATGCCCATAAATAGACCAGATTTCCACCATGATATTCCATGCTTCGGTCCCGTGTGGGATTTCTCATCCGTTTTCCATCCTCGCCAGATCCACTGGCATAGAACCGTTCGTGCATCAGCCGACGTTTCCATTCTCCACCGTTGGGTACGCGCCGCCGCTCATCTCAGCCCAGTCCCAATCCAACGTCATGGGAAGCGAAAACAGATCCTGCGGCAAGAGAGGTTGCTGATACGGAGCGCCCATATTCATCGGCGGTGAACGAGGGTTGTGGATTCCGCCAAATCCTGTCATCTCCGCAAAGTTACCAAATTGTGCCTGGTCCGGCATTGGAAACTCCTGTGGCCAGCCTGCCGACGGGAGAGCCGGAGAAGGTTCGCGCATCGAAGTGGTTTGCATAGGACTGAATCCATGCCTGCGACGGTTGGCTTCCCCGTTGAAGTCGGGGGACAACTGTCCATTCGTCGCCGAGTTCGCCGAGTTCGCCGAGGGAGTGACCGTCTGTGGAGTCGGCGTCGTCGCTGACACTGGCCGAGGTGTGTGAGAAGATGCGGCCGGGCTTGATGATACTTTCGGTGCTGCTTCGCTCTTGCGCTTCCGCCGTGACGACTGGTCTTTCTCCGCCTTCTCGATGACGAGCTTCGCAATCCTTTCAAACTCGGAACAAACGCCCAGCATACGGTGAACACCGCCAGTCTCGGCTTCCTGACCAAGCATGGACAAGAAGTTGACCACCAGATTCATCAATCTCGTGTCTGATTTGGCTCTAGGATCCATTGGGTTCTGGAGAATGTTTCCGAAAAGTGTCATTAGTGCGGACACAGGGAAGTAGAGAATGAGCCTGCAATGACTGTTAGTTACTGGATCCAAAGCCTGGTGTATTGGGCTTAAACTCACCAGACACTCGAAGAGTCTCCCTGAGGCATGTACTTTAGCAGGGAAATGGATGCTCGCGCAGCTGCCGTGCACAGCGCTGCGGACGAAAATACGCGTGGGTTCAGGGGTTTCGCGTTGAGCCCCTGGATGGCATAGTTGGACAAGCGACTGGTCCAGTATCCGTGATGTACCGACATACGGTGAATTGTTGTCAAGCAGTTGTAGTACGTCAAATGAAGCATGACAACGTGCAGGATAAGAGGCGTGTGTGACGCCTGAATCTCGTGCTCTGGCCTGAAATCGATTGGAATCCTGTCCTTCCACTCCTCGAGCTCCTGATCCAGCTCTCCGATGGTGTTGAGAAGTTCGCCAGGGGATTGTTTCGTTGCCTTGGTCGAGTACAGGCGAGAGTAGACCTTGCTTTCGATTGTCGCAAACTCGCACATGACTCTGAATAAGTTCATCTTGCCCTTTCCTTCAGCCAAAGGAATGTTGCCGATGTTGTCCTCCGGATCGGCGTCTGGAAGCTCCACGTTCATGTCGTCATCGTCTTGTGCGGGAGGTCGGCCCGCACGAAGGCACAAGTCCTTATCGAGCATATAAGCAATCCAGAAGACTCGCTTGCGTTGCTCAATCTCGATAGGGTTCAGGTTGAAACCGGTTCCCTTCTTGTGCAAACCAATACTGTGGGCGAGACGAATCGCAGTTGCGACAAGGACAAACGTAGGCTGAGGGTTCGGTGTGCCCTGCATGAACAGAGCCATGCCGAGCAGTGCTTGCACACTCAGCAAGTCCGTGTTGCGCATCGTCAGCTCAGCAAATGTTCCGAGGGCATTCTTGATGTAGCCCCATGCCTTCTCGTCCTCTTCCTGCGGCACAAGGTTGCTCATAACGCGCAGGCGATGGGCAAACGCCAGGGCGCAGTTCAAGCTCGCCCACCATCCGGTGCCCTCGTAAGGGTCGTCAGAATATTGCCGCTCGACCAGATGCATGAAGGTGGGTTGATGGAACAAGGGGAACATGCAGTTGAAGTTCTCAAAGTAATCCTTCAGCAGGGACAAAGCCTCGTGTTTCGGGGGCAGCGGTCGGAAGATTGGTCGACGGAACAGGTCGCTGAAAACCTCTGGCTTCCAGGCAGTCCACTTGTGGTCATCAATCGATACCTCGGAAATCATCTGCTGGAATGAATTGTCTCCCGTCTTCTCATGGACCCACTGAATACCCTTGGGGGAGAAGATGGAGAAGCCGGAGGAGGATCCGATGTATCGGGTCTCACCACTTTGGTTTGTGACCAAGGAGCACATCATCTCGGACAAAGCCTCGACCTCTTCCTCGCTCTTCTCGGGCTCTTCGGGATGCACAGATTTGCGCCTCTCGCCCTCTTTAGGTTCCTTGTGGGAGTCTTTCGTCGGTTCAGGAGAGGTAATGGCGCTTTGGGGAGTTGATTCATTCTCGTTCTGTCCCGAAGTTGCCTGAGATGGTGAAGTCGGGTTGGAAGCAACCTGAGAAGCTTGCCTCGACTGCTGATGTTTTTCGGCCAGGCGCTTCTCTAGAGTGCCGAGATCGGTTTCGCCGTTATCGTCCTCGCCGAGTAGACCTGTACAGCCAGTCAGATAAGGCCGGTCTCCTCGTGGGGAGCGGAATACAAACCTGAGAGTCGCAACAAGTTTTCCATACGGCCTAGACGGTTCTCCAGTCCTTCGATGTACTTTGCTCTGCTCTCGTGTCAGTCGGGCAACCCAAAGAGCCTGGACCGCGCGGCTGCACATACCCTTTTGGCGGGTTGCGCTTCTTCTCAACCTGAGTGAAGACACAGTCTGTCTTGTAGTTTATGCAATGGCTACATGCGGGTAGCTTGCCGTCGCACTTGATCTTCTTCTTTCGGCACATATCACAGGCCTGCGGGACATTACATGAGCACGTTTTCTACGACTGCACAGATTCAATGGCCGGGCAAGGACCACCGCAGGGTGCTTACTCTGGCAATTCTCCTCCTCTTGGCCTCGTTCGCATCGTCAAGTAGCGTAGATGGGTCGCCGAACATATGCGCCGCTAGGTCAGGCGGCATGTGCTGAACGGGAAGGCCATCAGGAGTATAAGCTCCAAAGATCTGGGGCGGTTGGTTCATCAATGGGGGCGGGTGCCCCATGTGAGGCATCTGGAAGCCCATGTGGTCCATGGTGGGCAAGTTTTGGTGGACAAGCTAGAATTCGCAATCGGGCGTCGCAACGGCACGGTCGGATCGGAAATACGGTGGTCGTCAAGCCTGGGGAAGCTGATGGAGGGCGTGATAGTCGTTGAAAGCGACGGTGGTTACCCAATCTCTCGAGCGCAACCAAGCTGGAGGTTGTTATCAAAGGGCGCGGAGGAGGGGAACAGCGGGACGGAAAAGACGAAGGGGCGTAAAAGTTGAGGAACCCGTCTCGGTATTTGCAAGCAGGTAGCGCGAGAATAGCGTAGCGGCGGGCGAAGCTCTTTGTAATTCGCTCGGTAAGCTGGTGGCTGAGTCGACAGGAAGCTAAGGCCGAGGTGGATCAGAAGCCCTGGAATTAAGTAAACCAAGGAGTGAGGATCGCGGCTGGCGGCACGACAAGCGATAGCGGGTTGCAGTTGCAATAGAAGTAGCGGTGCGGGATCAGCTAACGAGCGAAACTCCGATGCTGCTTCGCTGAGAATCCCGGTCTAGCCTGCGGTCGGTGGAGAAGGTGTCGTCGAGCAGAAGGTCGTCCACGTAGACGCCAAGGTAGGCAGGTGAATGGTACCTTAGCTAAAACAGAGGCGACAGGCGGGCGCGTGGGATTTGGCAGCTATGTGTCGGTTTATTCGTGATGCGTGTTTGTCGAGCGGTTTCGCTTCGTATGGAGGCCGTAAAACATCAAGTGGGTGGCTGCTGTCCGTTGGCCTTTCTTTCGTGTACTGCGTATGGGAGCAGTGGAACAAGCGGCGGGGAGGGAGGGGTATCACGTTCGGACGCCTGGGAGGAAATCGAATCGAAAAATGAAGAGTTAGCAGGACGAGGGGTGGGAGAAGAGAGAAGAGGAAAAGGTAAGTGCGAGCAGGAAATGATGGGACGGAAGGAGTAAAAAGCGAAGCAGTGTGGAATCGAGCATGGCAGTATCACATAACGACAAGCTGCTGCTCCTCCTCCTGGTGGACAGGTTGGGGGGCGAAAGGCGTTACAGAGTTGCAGAGAGGTCCGTCAGTGTGCTTGCAGTGAGCGTGGAGTGGCATTGGTCAGCGGGGCGTAGCTGACGGGGGGGCACTTGTCTTGCCTGCGTCTCGCTGCCCTCCCGTCTCCTGCTGGGCACCTGGACTCCTGAGTCCTACAGTGCCGCATAGGTCGCTGTGGACGTCCATTCAGTGTCGTGCCTGCCTTCGCCCAGGAGGGGGCTTGGGCACTGGCTGCCAGCGGAGAACTGAGGAGTGACGGGAGCCCCTCGCGTACCGCAGTTACTTGCAGGCACTGGGCCTCACTTCCATCACAGGCTGCTGGGCTTTGGTCCGGCCCGGAGGACTGGAGGGGGAGGGGGAGGGGGGCTCCACAAGGGGAACGACAAGGATGCCCGGAATGGCAGGATGCACTTACGGCAAGGCAGGAAAGACAGGGTACGACCACCTTGCGATAAGTACACGATGCGATACGTACCCGGCATTCGAGACTGTCAAACAGGACAGGCAAGAAGACTGATACAACCTACCTACCTGCCTACGGATACCCATCACCGGTATTCGTACCCATCCAGCAATGGCCCTTTGATGGAACTTCAGAGACCAAGGCAGCGGTAACCACGACTCACTGCAGATCCAATGACGGTATCACTTCGCTTCTTCCTGCTCTGTACGAGTCCTCAGCTGGAGTGACCTCGCCTTGACTTCGACACGCTCAACATCATTCAGACTCATCGACGAACCAGACAACGGGGGCGTGCCGGCGTGGATCAGGGCAACCACCAATCGCCGCATCTATCCCGCGAGTTTCTGGTCTTTGCCACGTTTCCCTCTCTCTGCCAATCCCAACACCCGTCTTCGAGCTATTCTGGGTTGCTGCTTCAGCTCAGCTGCCGCCGTACTCCAACACGCTGGAACGATCCCGCCGCCACACACACACAACAATACACTCCGGCAGCTGGATTGGCGTATTAGCAAAACTTGTCCCGCATCCCACTGGCTACTGCATCTCTCGACGGAAGCTGTAAATAGCAGCTCCTCCATTCTATGTCTTCCATCGCCATCTCGTCCCATCTCTAAGCTTGTCTCCCGTTGGTTCAAGCGAGCTCACGAATCATGGGGCGGCACTTGGACGACGTCGCAAACCAGCCATGCGAGAAAACCAGACAGTGAGATCATGGATCTAGATCCAGTCAGGGGGTTTCCACGACAAGAACCGCATTGCCAAACCCTGATGCTTTCGACCCCATGGCTTTCTCTGCCCGCTATGCTACCATGCTTCCGCGGGCTCCCTCCCCCCTCTTTGACACCTCGTTCTCCCCAACGGCACTGCTTTACCTCCAGCTCAGAGTTCCAACCCTCTTCATATCGGGTTTTTTTCCCTTCTGTCTCACTTTTCTCCCCTTCAACCTTGTCTTGACCCTCACCCCTCACACCCCAGTCACTCTCTCTGTCAGTCTGCGACCCTGGCGCGGCAGAACGTGAGAACAACTGCCCCGCGACGAATCACATCATCCCCGTCAGCTTGACAGCCCCCATCCGGAGCCCGTGCGGCGCTTCCTGCAGTCAGTCACTCCCCTTACATGCTGTCTCGCGCGCGCGCAAATGAAGGTCGCCTTTTTCTCGACTGTTAGAACCATCGTACTCGACTCAAGAATACGGGACGGAACCGCTTATCACAGCAAAGTCCTCGGCATCATCCAGCCAACCGCGCGCCATGCCACAATGTTCAACAAGCTCCGGCTCCATTTCCTCTTTGGACGAAACTTCGGTGCTCGGGCTTAGCACGCTGAGTTCGGGATGACCCAAAGACAAGGGTTGCTTGATGTGACAGGCAGAGCAACGCACGGTGGGAGCAGCGAGTAAGTGGCATAGACCTGAACCGTCTTATGCCTTGCAACAGCTCTTTCCCGGCTCGTGCCTCCATTCTCAAAAGGCTGCTTGGGTTCGCCGCGCCCCAGCAATAAATTTGCCTTTATCCCACATGAAGCTATGGTAACAGCTTATTAGCACTTACTTCTCGCTTCATCACCATGTTTGCATCTCGATATCGAAAGCGAGGCGAGGCAAATCAGGGTCAACACCTTAATAAACTGGGGGTTTCATCTCCTTGATCCGAGTCTACCGGCGACTGCTATCTAGGGGTCTCACAAACTCCACTGTCCACATCCCGTCCGTTCCCCCCCCCATGAACGAGGGGTAAAGATATCGGCTCGTCAAGTGGAGCCTCGCATGTGGTGAAGATGCAGCGAGAATCGGTTCCTGACAAGGTCCTATCCCAATGGACAAGTCAGGGCGTAATCCAGAACGACGAAAGATTCAGGTGGTTCTCGCCTCTTCGCTCGTTCGCCTCAGCAAGTTCCTCCGTCTGCTCAACTGATTGCGCCGAGGTCCGCGACATGCAAAGCTTCTCGAAGGCAATCTGAGCAGGGCTGGCCCCTAGACGGAACAACACGCCATCGATGCCGTGGTTCAAGCCTCATCGGACGGCCATTATGGACGTCGCAAAACAGCAAGGTGGGGGCTGGGGGCCCCGACGAGTTCGCAACACACACATGGTATCCGCCCAAGAGGTTCTTGCACTTTGTCCTGCCCGTCATGCTGCCGCCGCTTCTGCTGTTGCTGCTGCGGGTCTCCTTTAAGCTCTGGCCGGATGCACAGACTATGTATGTGAGGCAGCGGGAAGATCTGTCTTTCAAGTCAGGTCTCGTGTACGGTATCAGACTAAGTACTCCCCGGTACGTCGACCGAGCTTCCCAAATCACGGCGAACGCCGCTCTCAATCTCGTCGTCGGCCTCCGGAAACTTCAACAACCACAACTGTCCAAAGCAGACTCAGTTGTGAGCGAGAAGCAACCTCGGCGCTTCCAGACGAATGTCATTTGATCCAGCTCATCCGTTCCCAGTTCACACGCCTCCAGCCAGCCCTGAGAACGAAAAGAAAGATGTTTCATCCCGTGTTCAGATGGGACGGTAAACACCGATAAACACCTGATAGATGAGACACCCGCCAACGCACAACGAGCTCATTGATATCCACAGGGGGGCCGAATGAGGACGAGGCACCATCGCACTCTCTTTCACAATAACCAGAGCGACTCCGGTTGAACCTGCAGTAGGTAGCACCAGACATGGAGAATTTGTCATGCAGGGTCCAAGCACGTTCGGAACCACACATCTTTCTTCACCACCTCTCCATTCTCCCGTTTCACATCTGTCTCAAGAAACCTCACCCTCACCACCCACCTCCAGGAAAATTTCTGGCACGCACTCAAGTTCAACCACCCGCATCCCACCGCCAATGCCGTCCTTCCGCTCCGCCCCTTTGCCTAGAACCCCCGACACGGCCAAGGAAAGACTCTTGGTTGCGCCTTCCCAACGTCTCCACACCGCACGCAGCAGCAGCAGCAGCAGCCGCAGAAGAAGAACGGGAAAGATGTCCCGAATGCGCGCATCCCCTGGATCTCCCTCGCTTTCCCCCACGAACTAACGCGTCTTCGCCTCCGCCCGTTGGTGTAGCAGGTTACGAAAATCACGAGTGCAAGCGAGGGATTGCCGCAACCCACGTCGTTTCCCGCAAAAGGAGGCAGCCCGCTTACCTCACTAGCAACGTGAAAGTGTATGACGGCTACATGCCCTCTCTTTCTGTTTTCCTATGCGAGAAACTATTCTGAGGGTACCCACCGCCGCTCATCCGCGCTTCCGGTCTCTTCCCCTGTGAACATCATTCCATCCACCCGAACCATATCAGACGGGTCCTCTGGTCCTTGCTATAGGACTTAAAGGACCCGCCAGGTCTATGTTATGCGGCGATTGGGCACTGCCACACACACACACACACAAACAAGAGACTGGTCGTCACTGACTTTGACAAGACCTGGACTAATTAGCCCGGCAAATGTAGACAAGCTTTCGTCACATGGGACCACGGGAACCAGACAAGTTGGGTTGCGCATGAACAAAGCAGGACGTTATTCGTAGCAGGGTAGATATCAGAAGACTTTTCTTGTCGTCTCCCCTCGTCGGGACGAAAAAGGGAGCATGAGGCAACGATCGTCACCTCCCGTATCCCCCCCTACCAGACCAACTTTTGTGAGAAAGAATCTACATACAGGCAAAGAAAGCGCTTTGCCCAACCCAAAAGTCCTCAATGACTCCCACAAAACCCCTGGACCGAACCGTCGCAGATGTTCCATAACTGCGGGCAGCCCAGTCTTGAGAAATAAGAAGCCGCGCAAAAAAGTTTGTGAACCTGACCCTCTCTCTCTCGTCAGGATCCTTGTTCGCCCCCGGCAAACGCGAGGGGACTCATACCAGACAGACATGACTTTCTGCCTGCCTGCCTGCCTGCCTGCCCTCCCCCTCCAACAATAGAACGCCAATCCCATATGCTGTCGTAGCCGAAAACAGAATTTTTCGAAGGGATAAACCAAGACAGTGAGTGTAAAGAAAACAAAAGAGGTGACCTCCCTCGACTAGGTACTAAGAATTATCTTTGTATAAAAGATGTGTGAGAATGTACAGTACGCTTCAAAGGTACGTCGAGCCAGCACGAGCCGGCTTCGGTGAAGGAGAAAAAGGAGAAAGGAAAAAGGTGATTCGGAGTCCAGGCCGTGAGGGACGAGTGCGTTTTCACATGTCCTCTTGGAACCTGGACACGGAGCCCCGAGACCCCCGTGACCCGTCCTGCGAATTCAAGGTCCGTCCAATGGGGTCTCGTGGCGGCGAAAGGGTTGAGTCAGGCGGTGCCGGAAACGGAGCCGACTCCGTCACCGGCGTCCGGGCCGGACCCGGCTGCATGGTGATGACGCCGCTAACGGGTCTCATCGGCGAGCCGAGTGCAAGTCGTGTTTGGCCCGCGCCGCCGGGTTCGAAAAACGCTTGAGAGTCGCGGTAGTAGACGGATTCGTCGTCGTTGGCGGTTGCGCCTCCAGCGGCTTCGCGCGGGTCCGTGTAGCCATCACCTCCGGCCTGGAGGACCGACGGCAGCTTCCTGCCTGCGACCCTCACAAAGCCCCTCTCGCCGCTTTCGGAAGGTTCGCTAGCTCTTCTTGAGTGCGGTTTAGCCGCGGCGGCTGCACCGCCAACCGTGGCCGAGCCGAACGTCACGGCCCTTTGTGTCATCCCGGGACGGCTGCCGCTGTCGGGCCCACCTGAGCCGGTGAGGATTCCCCGGGCGGCCTTTGCGCTGACCTCGCTAAGTCGGAGTCGTCCACCAGAGCGCTTCTTCCATCGCAAGGCAAGAAAAGCGAGAAGCACTAGAAACGCCACGCCTGCTACGCTTCCCACTACGCTGCCCACAACGGTGCCGGTTGATGGTGCCGAATCGTCGCCGCTAGAATTGCCCGGGGTGGATGTTGACGTGGGTGATGCTGAAATGCCGCCCCCGATGCCGCCTACGCCGCCGTCGCTCCCATCTCCTCCAGCTGTCGTTTCGGCGGAACCTGTCGATGTGCTCGTGGCAAAAGTATTGGTGGTGCTGAGGCTGCCAGTGGCGGTGGTAGTTGAACCAGAAGATGAATCGGAAGTCGATGAAATGGATGAAAACACTGAAGATGTTACGCTCGTCGAACCGGACGAAAACAGGCTTGTTGAACTGGTTGCGGTAAGGACTGATGTAGAAGATGAATTTGTTGACGTAAGGAATGCTACAGGGATCGGTCAGTCGTCGCAGTCACGGTGGAACGAGGGAGGAAGGCTCACGAATTGTTGAGTTAGAAGGAGCACTCAACGAGGAATAAGCTGACGGCGCCGCAGACGATGCCGGTACTGAGGATAAAGGATTGGACGTCAAGGGAATATCCTGACTTGTGGAAGAGCCCGCTGGCGATGGTGTCGTCGAGGAGGTCGTCGCCGGGGGAGTCGACAGGGATGAGTCGCTCGAGGAGGTCGTAGTTTCGGAGGAGGTGATGTCTGTAGAAGTCTCGGTGGTGGACACAGCTGCGATGGACAGGCCTAGGTCAGCACTGGCGCTGGCGCTGGGCGACGTGTCGGCATCCACGGTGGCGGGAGGAGCGTAGTGAGTCTGAACTTCGATGGGGGCGCCGGAGGCATCGACTACTTGAACGATGGAGACGGTCTGGACGACGACTTTGCGAGAGGAGGAGGAGCTGCTGGATGCGGACTCGGGAGTGGGGCTGTTGTCGGCTTCGTCTGTGTCTGTCTGGCGGCGGTGGTGCTGGTGAGGAATCGCATTCTCGTGTGAGGCGGCGCGCTTGTTGTGTAAATGGTAATGATTGTGATGGTATGAGCGGGCCTGAGGGAGTGAAGACCCGCGCAGTGATTTAGTCATGGTTGTGGATTTGGGGTGGCGTGGGCAGTAGGCTGAGCTACTGCCCGGTCTGGTTGGCGGAGGTGTCGTTTGTTCCCGAGAGGGAGGCGAATGTCGAGCTGGCTAAGCCGAGCGGAGCGAGAGAAATATAAAGATAGAACGGGCGGATCAAAAGCCCCGTAACGAGTGTGGTGGTTGGTGTTGAGCGAGTGTGGTGTGCGTGTGAGCTGTATGGACGAGACGTGTCGATCTATTCAGATTCCATGCTTGATTTACTGCTGTTCATGACCGTTGGAGTCGATGTCGATGAATTGCATCGTCTGGTGCGTGTAGCTTGGTGGTGGTGGTGCGCTGGTGGTGGTGGGTGTCCGTCCTGCAGCGGGCCGCGAGCGAATGAGTGGCCGGTGGCAGAAACGGAACAGAACAGCAACAGTGAGGAAGGAAGCCAGAAAAACCCCCCCTCTTTCTCAGTCAAAAAAAAAAATGAAGGACGCCTCGTGGTTCGTTCAGCCGTTTCTCGTTGTCCGCGTGCTCGATGCTGTGTCCTTGATCTGTCTCCCTTGCATCTGCCAGTTCTCATGGCCGATGTTCAGGTTGATGGCATGGCGGCAGCGCGGTGGCAAGAGGGGAAAAGAGGAAAGGAAAGAAGAGATGAAGCGAGGGACTCGGGTGCCTATGGGGGGGACGGTGGAGGTCGAGGCTCAACGATAATAATAAGCATCGGGGGCCGGAAAGTGAAGAGAGGAAAAAATCTGAGAATGAGCGCAGGAAACAAAGCGTGGAAGCAGCAAGCAAGCAAGCAAGCGCTTGATTGTGTGTGTGCAGTGCCATCCATCTCTCTCTCTGTCCACCCAGTGCTACTGCTTGGCTTCCCAACACCAGTCGGGGGCCACATGCAGTCACTCTCGCAGGAGTGGTAGATTTCGATAATCTCGCTTGATATGGGCGGGTGGCTGCTAGCTGGAGGACATCGCGCCCCATTGGCCAACCAGAGGGCCCCAAAGTTGCAATGAGCAGTTCCACTGTCCACTATCACGGGGAACCAGGACATGGACCAGGGCCAGGGCCAGGACCAGGACCGGGGGAGAGGAAGAGGGAGAGGGAGAGCCAGTGTCCAACTCATTGTGTTGTGCCTGCCTGCCCGCCCGCCCGTGCTCACCTGCCAGCCAGGGCGGGCACCCGGGGCAGGGACGACGACACCACACTGCACTTCAGGAACAGAGGCGTCGGGTACCTTGCTGAAAACCTGCCTGTGGCTGCAGGTACGTACGGCACACGGCACACGGCACAACCGACTTTCACAAGGGATGAATGAGATGGGCATCGTGAGTGTGTATTCGTTGATCTAGCTGACTGGCCAGTTCAGTACTCGCAAGCCAAACGACTGGATATCAGAAGAGAACCAACATCGCCTAAGGTACTGGGGCCGGACCACCTTGTTCTGGGTCAAGGCCGATATGGGATGAGATGAGATGGATGGGACGAAAGTCTGATTGATTGCCTCTCACTGCTCAGTATCCGTACTTACCTTAGGTGGTCACCCACGGCAGTGACTACGAATAATTTATAAACGACTGGCCAGCGCGCTGTCGTGTAGCTTTATTTGGCTGCAGGCCCGTGTGCAGACGCTGCCCTTCTCTGCGCGTCAATTGGCGCCGTTGGTTTCGCCCAGGAGATCATGGCGGCACCTGCTCCAACTCCAAGAATGGACCGCGTGTCCCAGTGACGAACCCATTTACTATGCAGCACACTAAAAAGCTCATGACGGGTCAGGACCCAATTCGACACGATCTGGACTCGACCGACGACACCCCGAACCGTCAACGGCTCTGTAGCGCCATTCCTCATCGAGCAGCCCCTCAAGATTCCACCGCGGCTTCCCTTTTGGAAAGTGCAGTGAATCTTGCCTTCCTACGGATTCTTCGTACAGAGCCACTGCCAAAAACACGAGCCAACCACTTGCCATCTGGGGGGG